GACCCAGTTGGTGAGGCAAGTGACCCAAATTCAAGGCCAGAGCTGCCCGGAGGGAAGACCTGGATCTCGGCAAGTTTGGAGGAGGTGCAGCCAGAGAGGAGGGTTTTGCAGGGGGGAGGCTCCGGGGAAAGAAATGCTGGGGTGAGGCCGGGAGGGGTTCACGGGGAGTGGGGCCCAGGGAAGGTGTTGGGCTGACCTGGAGGCCCTGGGAACCGAGCTCAGCCTCGCTGGCCCTCCGCAGGCCGCCAGGGCCAGGCACGCCATGCAGTTCCCCACTGAGCTGACGAAGCAGGCCTGCAGGACACGCCGCAGGGAGCTGCGTCTCATCTGCATGTACTTCTTCAACACCAGGTTTTTCCCGGTCAGTGCCATGGGGGGCCCAGCAGGATGGCGCTGGCCTCTTCCTGGGGACCCTGCAACCTCCATGCCACAGTCAGGGTTCTGGGTGGGGACCAGCATCAGAGGGACCAGCCCACGGTGCCACCGGCCTCAGTGTTAGCAGAATGGTGGGAGGCAATGATAATAATGTGCAAACGAGACCTAAGAAACCTACTTCTGTATGTGCATGGCCCTAGGCAGGAGGCAGAACAAGGCCCCAAGATCCCTGTCCTCAGAGAACCCTCGATCTTGACAGTTACACGAGGACCTGAGAGACTTAATTTTAGCTCAAGGTTGATTATAACCACAGAGATGCAAAGTGATGGTTTGGGTGTGGTCGGGGTTGTTCCCATGGGCAATCCGGGAGGGCTTCTGGAGAAGGTGTCTTTTAACTTTGGCATGGAAAGTGAGTTAGGATAGTGGTGAAGTGGCGGGTACACAGAGGGGAGGTGGAGCAGGGGGGTGGTCAGAGGACAGCTTTCCAGGCGGAGGGGCAGCATGTGCAAAGGCCCAGAGGTTGGCTCATGTTGGCCATGTGAAAGCATGCCACTCCTCTCACCCAGGGGGGAGGGCCTGGAGAAGGGGGGCTCTGGGACCTCGTCCAGGTGTCCTCACGTCCCCTCCAGTCAGCCCTTCTTCTGTCACCCTTCCAGAATGACAACTCATCTATGCTCAATGACTATGTCCTGGGGGCCCAGCTGGGCAGTGAACACGTGGACAACCTCATGGAGCCCATCAACATCAGCTTCTGGCACAACCAAAGCCTGGTACCATGGGGACATTGCCATTTCCACCCCGTCCTGCCCCTTTAAGACTGTCCTGGGGCACGCGGGTTTGCCAAACTCAAACCTGCAGCACCATCTTGGAAACAAATGCATCTCCCCTTAGGAAGACTACAACGTGACCTGTGTCTTCTGGAAGGAGGGAGCCAGCAAGCGCCACTGGGGGCTCTGGAGCCCTGAGGGCTGTCGCACAGAGCAGCCCTCACCTTCCCAGGTGCTCTGCCGCTGCAACCACCTCAGCTACTTTGCTGTTCTCATGGTATGTGTGCTGCAGCCGGGCTGAGGGTGGTCAGAGCTGCAGAAGGCCCCCGAGTTGCTTCTCAGGACAGACAAGCAAGACAAAGGCTGGAAATCCAACTCAAATGAGCTTGGGGGTGAGGGTGGAAAGTGATGTGTTTAGGTTCCTGAAAAGGCTGGGTTAGGCTTCAGGTATGGCTTGATCCAGGGGCTCACTATCACCAAGACAGGCCTCACGTCCTACTAGCTTTTAGGCCAGTGGAATGAGAGCCTCTCTGGCTCATTTCTGCCGGTCACATTCTTGTGATTGAGTCCCACCAGCCTAGAGTGCATCACCTGCCTGTCCCTTAACCAATCGCTGTGGACAGGAGGAGGGAGGGCTCTCACCGGCCAGGAGTGGTGCACCTGTGCACAGCAGAGGGAGAAGCGGTGGGTCCACCTACGTGTATGGACAGTGAGGGAAGGGAGGCTCTCGCAGAGGCAGGGGAGATCTCGCAGGGGCAGGGGAGGTGGGAGACGGAGGTCGGAAAGCCACTGTATCTGCCAGGGCTTTTTTTCTTTTTTAAATATATTTTATTGATTTTTTTACAGAGAGGAAGAGAGAGTGATAGAGAATTAGAAACATCAATGAGCAAGAAACATTGATCAGCTGCCCCCTGCACACCCCCTACTGGGGATGTGCTTGCAGCCAAGGTACATGCCCTTGACCGGAATCGAACCTGGGACCCTTGAGTCCGCAGGCCGACGCTCTATCCACTGAGCCAAACCGGTTAGGGCTGCCACGGCTTTTTTTCAAGCCAGGACCATGGTGAGGATTGTGGGGCAATAGGGTCGGACCTGGGGCCTTGGCAGGTCTCTCCGATTGAGCCTGGGGGCAGGCATTTCCATGCCCTGGTCTCCAGTCCCCCTTCTCTCCCACAGCAATTCTCCCCAGCCCCGCTCCCGGCGGAGCTGCTGGCACCGCTCACGTACATTTCCCTCGTGGGCTGCAGCGTCTCCATCGTGGCCTCCCTGCTCACCCTCCTGCTGCACTTCCACGCCAGGTATGCCCCGGTGCCAGGCCTGCCCACCGCGGCTGCTCAGCACTTCTCCTTCGTTTCTGCTTGGTCCCCCAGAGTGGGATGGGTTTCTCCAGAGGGCGGAGGCCGCAAGGCAGGGGACCAGCCTCACCGCGTGGCTGCTGGTGGCCCCCTGCCCACCTCGACCTGTGTCCCCGTCACTGTGTGTCTCTGAGCCCAGGCCTGGGTGGTGTCCCCAGGCCACCAAGGGCCATGCTCCCACCCGCAGGAAGCAGAGTAACTTCATCACACGCATCCACATGCACCTGCACGCCTCCGTGCTGCTCCTAAAAAAGGCCCTGCCCCCCGTGCCCGGGGCAGCCTGCAGGGCACTGGGCGCCGTCCTGCACTTCGCGCTGCTCAGCTGCCTCACCTGGATGGCCATCGAAGGCTTCAACCTCTACCTTCTCCTGGGGCGCGTCTACAACATCTACGTCCGGAGATACGTGCTCAAGCTCTGCGCAGTGGGCTGGGGTGAGCCCAGCCTCCCTCCCTCCTGCTCCCCGAGGCTTCCAGCTGCACCGAGCATCCGCCCGCCTGTCCTTCTCCTTCCCTTCCTCCTCCTCATCGTGACCACTGCAGGTCCACCGACATCATCCCGCCAACACTCACCACCACTTCCTACGTTACTGTTCCTATCGCACGTCCACCTCTAACACCACTCTATCGCTACCAGCTCTCCCTCCACCACCTCTACCCCCAACACCACCACCATCACCTCCACCACCTCTACCTCCACCACTATCACCTCCACCACCACCTCTACCTCCACCACCTCTACCCCCAACATCACACCATCACCTCCACCACCTCTTCCTCCACCACCTCTACC